TATATTTTAATTATTACTTATTATTATAAAATTAATTATAATATTAGTATATTTTTATATATTAAGGTAACTTTATAATATTTAAATATTATAATATTTAAATATTATAATAGGAATATTAATATTTATATTAAATATTATTTAATAATTATTTATTTTAAGTTATTTGTAAATTGAAATTTAGAAAGAAAAAAAATTATAATTTATTCCAAAGGCCACACAAGAGCCGCACAGTGCATCACTCTATGGTGAGTCACCACCGTAGGTCCGATGACTCACCGGTAGGGATAATCATTTTGGCCGACTTCTGAGGGCTATAAAAGCCCGAACCTACAAGCAAAAAAGGATAGAGCGAGAGACAGAGATAGAAACAGATAGAGACAGATGGAGCAAGCAACAAAAACACCAAGCAACAACATAGATAGAGGACAACAAGCAAAAGAAACAACAACCGAAAGAAAGAAGAGTTGAAATGTGCGCTTACCATCGTCCGAGAAGCTTCAACGTCATCGGGAAGTCTAAAAGCCGAAGGTATTAACATAGATTTACAGAGTTCGACATATTTTTAGGCAAAACAAAGCTTAGATTTGGGTTTAGGGTAAAAGGGGCTTCGATTTACTGTAATCTGAAATTTTTCGACCACTGTAAGTGGTGGTCGGCGATGGCGATTGATGCCAAAACAAAACGACCAGTCGAGGACAAATTCTCTCGGTGAGGGAAATGAATAGAGAAGAAAGAGCTTCTCTCTCTAAGAGAGAAAAGCCTTTTGAGGAAAATGGGTAAATTACATTCGCACTCCCGTTGGTTATGTAAACTTCAATTATGGTCATGAAACCAGGTTTTTCTCCTTTTAATTTGGTTTTTTTAATTTTATCTATTTATATTTTGGTCACTACTCTATATTTATACTTTAGGGTAAAATAACTGATTTAGTCCTTTATATTTTAATTATTTATATTTTAGTACATAGTTTTAATATTATTTCAAATTAGATTAATTAATTTTGATATTTTATATTTTAATTATTACTTATTATTATAAGATTAATTATAATATTAGTATATTTTTATATATTAAGGTAACTTTATAATATTTAAATATTATAATAGGAATATTAATATTATATTAAATATTATTTAATAATTATTTATTTTAAGTTATTTGTAAATTTAAATTTAGAGAAACAAATTTATAATTTATTGCAAAGACACTAATTAATAAACTCCAGTACCAATTTTGGGTGTTGTGAGGTGCTAATCCTTCCCCATACGTAACCGACTCCCGAACTCATTTTCTGGTAAGCAGACCCTGTGTTGTATTATTTTAATATTATTCTTAGGAATTTTATTAGAATAATATAATACTTCGGTGACCAATCTCACCATATTAAAAGATTGGTGGCGACTCTACAACTTAGTGTTTCATCTGATTCAAGGAAGATAAACACTCACTTTTTTAGACTAGTTACACCTTTAGGGTGTACTATTTACACTCTCCGTCGTCGGGCAGGGAAACATCTCAACAAGCATAACATTAGTTGTAAATCTCAAGTGCTCTATAGTAAATAACTAGTATTAGAGCAGGTGGTCTAGGATCGTCATCAGGGAAAAAAATTTATAAGTGTTGGGGGCTTACATTAACGGGTGTGACATCATGACTAAGGGAAGATTCTGTTCGTGCACAGTCAGAAATTGTGAAGTTTATTAGTTTGAGATCAAGCTTACTTAATGTTGTGCGACATTCATCGTGACAAATCTTGAGAATGCAAGCATCAAAATCAAGAAATTCAATAACCATAAATATGACATTTTTTTATGTCTCAAGTATGGTCGTGCACGATCCTTGATTATAAAAACTAGAAATTGGATTCCTAGCTCAATTATACAAGATTAAGTTTAAATTTGTAATTCTCAAAAAAAAAAAAAATTCATCTCTCACGGGAAAAGATCAATCCCTTAATTACGGGAATGAAAAAGATTGATTCCTTTGCACCAAGGATTTATCCCTTTACTAAATGGATTGATCATTCGGAAAAATAGATTGATCCCTCAAGTTTAGATTTGAGAAAAAATATTTCAAATTTTCTTTTAGTCTTTAGTATTTGGTACTTAAAAAATGATATTTTATAAGATATTTCCAAATTTGAAAGTTAAATTAAGGATGAATTCTAACCCGAATTAAAATGAAATTTCTAAAGCAAGTTTGTTATAACTTTAATTTCATGCATGTATAAAAAAATTTAGAAAATGCATAGTTTACAATTTAGTCTCTAACATGTCATATTAATGTAATTGGAGTATGATTTGTAGTCCGATTGAGTTTTAATTCGCATGATGCTTGCATGGTTGTTGTATTGGTTTATGGTATATTAAGTTTTCACTTTCGACATGATTATATTATATATGTGAAAAAAAACAAAAATACCCCTAAATATGTTTCGTTAATTTTGTCTAACTTTTGTACGTTCCAAATTTATTATCGGTTAATAAATAAGTATAGACTTCCATTATATAATTAAGTTGTATGATGAATGAAAAATGTTGTTTTTAATCATGCTCGATATTTGGGTCGGACCATCTCAACCGAATATCTTGGTTTATATATTGAATTGATGGAAAATAATTGAGCCTCAATTTCCTTTTATCACAAGTTATACTTACGCTATAGCAGTTTATTCTATTACTTCAGATGCTAAATGCTCAGATAAGGGTTAATCATTTTCATATCCACTCAAATAAGGGCCAAACCTTTCAAAATATCAAATAATGGCCTATTATTATTAGGTCTGCTCAGATAAGGATCTAACAATTTCTAGTCTACTCAAATGAAGGTCCTTATTTGAAAATATTTTCAAAAAAGTTAGGCCCTTATTTGAATGGATACGAAAGTGTTAGGTATGTAATTGACCATTTGAAACGTTAGGCCTTATGTGAGCATTTAACCATTTTCTTATAACCATTTATGATTTTTTTTTACATATCATTAATTTACATTTATAATAGTTTTATAAGATTGTTTTTTTTAATTAATCATTGGTATCTGATCTATTGATAAACTAATCCAGATCGAATATTACAGAGGTGATGGCGATCCTCCCAACCCAGTTTGTTCCATTCGCAAACGTCATTATTCGAACCTGACCAACTAATCCAGATTTTTTATTAATTACCATTCTCGCAAGGTAATGAATGACGTTCGATGGTTAGAATTAATGGAAGAGTGGATGGAATATAGTCCCATACATTAATTAAGCAACCAAGCTGTTCAGATCATTAACATTAATGTCATGGAATATCTCTACTGGACACTCACCTACTAAAGCTAGTTTCGATATCGTTTAAGCAAGATTTTGAATTCGAGTCTTTGTGTATACATAAAATTTTACCGGAATACTCAGCTACTAAAATCATGTGTGCAACGTAGGTCGGTCTGAATTAGTTCAGACGCAGCCTTGGAACCGGGAGGAACCAAAAAATAAAATGTCATGGAATATCTATACAATTCACGTCATTTCTCACTGCTTTTGCTGCTCACCTCACGTTATTCCAATTCATAAAATTGGTGTGTTTCAACTTCAAACATGCAAATAAAGCAATGCATGCAGTAAAAGATATTAATATTTGAACCTTTTCTCCCAGCACTCGTAGGCCGGCTATCTATCCAGATTGAAACCATATTTATTGACGATAACAAATTTATTTCGTCGACTGTTGATGATTCATTCCTCTTAATTTGTGTAAACGATTGACGACGGTCGTCGAATGAACGATCATTGAACAATATTTATCTAGTGCTAGCTTGTCATGTGACAACAAATGGCTGCTGCCTATTATTATATAATGTTGCATTTTAATACTTTTAATTGCATGCATCAGTTTCACATTAAAGGAAAGGATTACATCAAAATCCGATTCTTATGATTTCAGGTCGATAAATGCATGTTGTTGACATAAAAGCTAATCTGATTGATAAAACCATTATACCAAATTCCACTAGTTAGGGTTTGTATGGCCAAAAAGAAATTTAGGGCTTGTATCGATAGTCATTGAGATTGATTTTGAACGCATCGATAAATTATGAATCGTAATTACGAGATGGGTTATTATAATCATAAGATTAAATTGCTAACAAAAAAAACCAAATTCCACTAGTTAGGGTTTGTATGGCCAAAAAGAAATTTAGGGTTTGTATCGATAGTCATTGAGATTGATTCTGAACGCACCGATAAATTATGAATCGTAATTACGAGATGGGTTATTATAATCATAAGATTAAATTGCTAACAAGATATTATTGCTATAGTGATGAAAATGGCTAAATGTTCAAATAAGGCCGAACTTTTTAGGGGTTGTTATATAAGACTCCTAACTTTTTAAAATGGTTAAATAAGGGACTAATATTTTTTAAATTTGTTCAAATAAGGGACTTACCTTTCGAAAGGTCGAATAAAGACCTAACATTTTTGAGTTTGATCAAATAAAGATATAATGTTTTTAATATGCTCAAAATGAGAGCCCTCATTTGAAAATGTTTTTAAAAGATTAGGCTTTTATTTGATCAAATAAAGGTCTAAAATTTGATGATATTGGGATAGTTTACCCTTAATAAAAAAACCCTTGTAAAAAATGGTCGGAGGCAGGGTTGGGAGCCGCCCAGTTTTTCCTTACAAAATTTGAACTTTCTCAGTAACCAAACGGACATTTGTATCCCCCAAGAAACGGGAAAAAGATAAAGCTTTTAACGGCTTTCTTTTTTATTATCGGTTTGGTTGGTGAGATTCATTTTTTTATTTATTTTGTCAAATCAATTTGATATTTGCTTGCTTCGTCTGTTTTGCCATTTAGGCCCCGTGATCTCTTTCTAGAAAGAAAGGGAAATTGCATATTTCTTGATTGTTAGGTACGAAGAATTGATAAATATTTGTTCAAATGAAGAAGCGGCAATGAGGAGCGAGGAAGAGAAATGGAGGTTAGATCTGACAATAATATACAATAGTCAAGTAATTCCTAGGACTAGCCTTCAGGTTTGGTTTTTCAGAGTTTGTTCCACCATTTTGCTTTAGACTTGTTTGGTACACATCGTTGTTGTCGCTGAGCTATGGCACCCTCGTTTGCTTGCAGGTTTTACCAGCCGGATTTCCTGGATCACGCGTCCCCCTCTTAATCTTCAACGCTCATTCCATGCCCCTCCCTCTCTTGCTCCTCCTAGTGAGTTTACCTCCGTATCTCTCATTTTGTTCTTCTGCCTTGAATTTTCTCTAAATTTCGATGTGGTTTGAGAAATTTCTTGAATTTGAGAAATAATTGGTGTTAGGAAATATGCAGCTTCTTTAGGCTTTCAATCAGCAACCTCAGTTTTGTAAAGTAAAAAACGGTGTGTCACTGCTGTATGTTTTTTCAATAAAGGGGCACCGCACAACTAAATTGTTCAATAAATGGGGCACCGAATTCGGTGCTCAATTTTATTGAAAATAGAAATAGGGTTAATTACATTTTAGTCTCGGCATACTTTAGAATACTTACAAGATTAGTCCTTAAGCTTTAACTATAAATACTCTAACCTATTTAGCTTCAAAATCATCCCAAATTATTTCTTTCTCCCAATACTAGAAAGATTTTTTGTGAGTTGTGAGTGTTTTGTAAACACCTGTAAATTTTCTCTCTTTAGTAAAAGATCTGCATCAGTCCGGAGACGTAGGCAAAATTTACTGAATTCCGTTATCAATTTCGGGTATTATTTTTTCACTTTTATTTTGCATTCTCACTAATCTGATTATAGGGAAATTACTCGTTTATTTCCCAACAACCGGCATCAGAGCTTTTATTTGTGAATTTTGTCAATTTTTCTGTGAGGTTACTATTCACATGAATAGTGAATTTCGTGAATAGTGAAATTTGGTCGACGATACGAGTTTGTCGACTTAGGTATTCTAATACACGGTGGTTCGCAAGAATTGTCAGAAACGATCCAAAAGAACCCAGATTCGAGTGGAAGCGATGGCTTTGAGAAACGAAGTTGATGAGCTCAAGAGAGAGCTGCTCATATGCAAGGGAGCAATGAGTGAATGGGATGCGCTCAAGACCTTCTTGGAAGAACTTGGACCAGGGGCGATGCTTAGGGAAGAGCAAAGCAATGCCCATAGACTTTCGGAGGCCATAGCTGTAGTCGGAAAGCTGACTGAGCTTACAGGTGACAAGCCAAGTAGCGATGTGTCGTCCAGGCCCATGCCCAGAGATAGTGGCAACAGTGGTGGAGACCGGGAAAAGGTACAACATGGAGATGGTAGAGAAAGCTCTTCGAATAGCCAAGGTGAGCCATCGACTGTTCGTAGCCAAGGAAAGCCATCGGGAAAGAATGACAAGGCTAAGTCCGGTGTAAAGAAGAAGGGGAGCAAGGAAAAATTGAAGTGTTACTTCTTTGATGGTCCTCATTTGATTAGAGGATGTCCCGAGAAACGTCGCCTTACAACCATCATGAAGAGGATGGGAAAAGGAGAAGTAGCAGGAATTGGTGTGGTTACAAGTGTTAAAGCTACCAAACCAGGGAAAAGACTTGGTCCGATTGATGGGATCAATGCGGCCAAGAAAGGAACGAGTCGAGGCAAGGCTATTGGTGTTAAGACAACCGAACCCAGAAGAAAGCCCGATGTGATTGCGAGTGTCCAAGCAATCAACTCAAGAGCAAGACTTGGTGAGGCTACATATTCCAAAGTAGCCTAATCAAGGGGCAGGCATGGTGCGACTACAAGTTCTCAAGTAGTCAGCCCAAGACTGAAACGTGACGAGACTACGGGTGTCAAAACAGTCGAGCACAAGAAGGGACCCGGTGCGATAGTAAGAGATAAAGCCGTCAAGTCGAGGGTGTAAAGTAAGCAAGTCTGCTCACAGTATGCCAGGATAGAGGCGTAGTCCAAGTTGAGGCGTCTCAGGCATAAAGGGACACTTAAGGAGTATGTGAGTGGATTCAGAAAACTCATGCTCAAAGTCTAAAGTTTGACTGAAGAAGATGAATTCTTTTACCTTCATGTTCGGATTGAAGCCATGGGTGAAGAGAGTGTTGGAGCGAAGGGAAGTCAAGGAGTTGTGTAAAGCCTTGACAACCGCTGAGTCCATCAAAGAATTTGGAGTCGGGAAAAACAAGACTTCCAAAGCAAATCCGAAAGCCGAGGGTAGTGACAAGAGATTCCGTGATGAAGGCAAGTCAGAGGATGAGGAATGTTGTTCATCGAGTGACAGAGAAAATCCACTCAATAATGAACCAGATAGTGAGTCTGGGGAAGATGTGTGCAGTCTTGGCACAAGTTTGAGTGTCAAATATGCTAAGCTGAGGGTAAGAGTCGAGCAAACGAGGGGGCGTAGACTTAAGATGCCATAAGTGTTGCAAAATTATCCGAGGGGAGCCGAGTCATCCAAGGTGATGGATAAGCCCAAAATCGAGTTGTCCAGGGAAGAGGACGAACTCAGGATCGAAGAGACGTTGAGAGTTGACTCAATAAGGTTCATTTCTGCCAAGGCGAGTAGAAGCCAAGTACAAGAAGAGTTGTCAATATCCAAGGAGTTTGTCGAGCATGTTCGTGTAGAGAATATGGCTTCAGAGACCACCTTAAGAGAAGGGTCGAAGCAGGGGTTGCCGATGATGTTCAAGTGAGGAGCAATCCTTCAAAGACTAGTGGACAAGAGTCAAAGGGAGCCAAGACGTTGAGGGACAAGGCAACCACGGAGAATCTGCCCAATAACAAGTGGCTTTACAGGATGGTGACTACGAACAAACTGAAGTTGTGTTCAACTTCAGTTGGCATGCTAGAGTAACAAGAGCAGAAATGCTGTTGCATAGATCGAGGTGTGAAGACAGATTAAAATCAGTCTTCAAGTGGGAGATTGTAAAGTAAAAAAGGGTGTGCCACCGTCGCATGTTTTTTCAACAAAGGGGGCACCGCACATCTAAATTGTTCAACAAATGGGGCACCGAATTCGATCCCCAATTTTGTTGAAAATATAAATAGGGTTAATTACATTTTAGTCCCTACACATTTTAGAGTATTTACAATATTAGTCCTTAAGCTTCAACTCAAAATCATCCCAAATCATTTCTTTTTCACAATACTAGAGAGCTTTCTTGTGAGTTGTGAGTATTTTGTAAACACCTGTAAATTCTCTCTTCAGTAAAAGATCTGCAGCAATCCGGAGACGTAGGCAAAATTGGCTGAACTCCGTTATCAATTTCGGGTATTATTTTTCCGCTTTTATTTCTTCTGCCTTGAATTTTCTTTAAATTTTGATGTGGTTTGAGAAATTTCTTGAATTTGAGAAATAATTGGTGTTAGGAAATATGCAGCTTCTTTAGGCTTTCAATCAGCAACCTCAGTTTATATTTCACTATAGTATGCCCAGTGATATGTCTAAATAGTTTCACCTAGAAGCTCTGTTTTATTGATTATTGGAATGCCATCACTGATACTAAATTTATGGGTTATTGATCATCTTCTCGAGTTATCTATGCTAACAGTTGCTTTGCGGGGAAATTGTTGTTTCCATGTGATGCTCTAATCTTTAACCTCCAAATCTTAGATTCTTATTCAGCAATTGAGAATCTGATTACTGATATCGAATACCCTATATATGAGTCCATGAATTTTATTGAAGAAAAACATTTTTGCTTTTTCATTCAATCTTCGAAGAAGTAATATGTACGTTCTTGTATATTTGCAGGAAACTATAAAAGTAATGGTTTTCTTAAAGTTTCTTGCAATGGGGCCTTGAATCAAATGCGTGCAGCTGTCTGTGTCTCTTCTCTAGCTCTTCTTTAATTTGTTTATTCTATTTGGTATTATATATGTTATTAATCCAGTTTGGCATTTTTAGATCTGTGACATGGTAGCTGTTGCCAGATTCTTAAATCTCACTTTGGTTGTTCCAGAACTTGACAAGAAATCATTCTAGGCAGACCCTATGTGTGTTTATCATTCTGAAAAGGTTACATTACCGTTCCCTTCTTACACAGTTGCTTTAGTCTTTGACTTCTAATATGTTTTTGCAGTGATTTTGAGGATATTTTCGATGTCAGACATTTCATTGATTCTCTAAGGGATGAAGTTCACATTATCAGAAGGCTGCCAAAAAAGTTTAGTAGGAAATATGGGTTTGAAGCTTTCGAGATGCCTCCAGTTAGCTGGTCAAATGGAAAATACTACTTAGAACAGGTTTGTCGCTTATTATTAATCATATATCATTTACATTTCCAACTACAGAAAATTGATAATTATCTCAATGAATGGATAAGAATGTGTCTTGTGTTTGTCTCTTCTATTCTCTTTCTCCCCGTCGCCCTCCTCCCTTCTTTTTTGTTCCACAAAGTAGAATCAATTGCCTTTGAAATTATTTTACAGATTCTACCACTGTTCAGTAAGCATAAGGTAGTACACTTCAATAGAACTGATACACGACTTGCAAATAATGGGATCCCACTCAATCTTCAGAAACTAAGATACCGCGTTAATTTCCAAGGACTGAAATTTACTCCTCAGATTGAGGCATTGTGGCACAAATTGGTTTGCATTCTTCAAGAAAAGGGACCCTTTGTGGCATTGCATCTAAATAGGAGATGGACATTGAAGATACTAATTTTTATCCATTTGTTTTTTAATTTTAATTTTAATATTTTTATTTATATTCATATTATTATTATTATTAATAAAAAAATTATATTACAGGCTCACATTACAAACCAAACAGACTGGCCCAAACTTAATAGAAACCCTAAAACCCATTTAGGGTTTGATCTCAGCTCCAGCCGACGCTCCTCTTCTCAGTCGTTGGATCTAGCTTGATCCAACGGTCCCAGATGGTTCTAGACCAAACCCTAGGGTATGATACCCTAGGGTAACCATGCGGCGCCGCCTCTGCTGGATGTCTCGTCCAGCCGCTGCCGACGTTCCACCGTTGCCACGACTCCTCGACGAAGCCTCCAGAAGGTCTACACCGGCCGTTCATGACAATTGCTATATGGTGAGTCACCACATAGTTTGGTGACTCACCGAGATATCACCCTATTACACGGTCCGAGGCTAGTATCGGGATGGCTATAAAGCCTCATCACACCTGCAAACAGAAAGGGAACGGAGAGCAACAAAAAAAAGAAAAAAAAAGAGGAAAACAACCAGAAAACAGAAAGCAAGCCAGAGGGAACAACAGCCACAAAATACCACCAAATAGTGAGATAAAAAAATGAAATGAAAGACATTACCGAGAAAGCTGCAACGCCACCGGAGTCCGCACGTGCCTCCACGCTCCACCAAAATCCTTCGAAAACCGAAGGTATACTTGTAGATTTGCTCCGATTAGGAGCTTTTTAAAGAAAACAAAGGCCATATTCGGCCTTAGGACGATGGGATCTAAATTTTGGAGGCATTTGGTAATTTCTGACCACCGGTAGCGGTGGCCAGCGGCGGTGGCTAGTGCTGTTGCAGGATTCCCTCCGACGAGGGAATATAGAGAGAAGCGAGAGAGTTTAAAACGCTCTCAGTTAGAAAGAGAGAGAACAAGAAGAAAATAAAGAAAAATGGCCTTAAGGTCATTCGGTTAAGGGTTTAAATACCCCTCCCCAAACGACGTCGTTTTGGGGAGGGGCCTGTTTGTAATTAGATAAGGTTAAAACCACGTCTGCAATCCATCAGTTTTATAAATTTATATTTTAGTCACTGAATCAAAATTTAGATTCTTTTAATTTGGTGTTCAAATTATATATATTTATTTTAGTCCTTTACATAAAATAATATATATTTTAGGTAAATAATAGATTTAGTCCTCTAAGTTTAAAAATTAATATTTTAACCCCTAATCGCATGTTTTAATTTGTTTTAATTTGATGTACTAATTTAATATAATTTTATTTTAGTCACTAAATTATAATAAGCAAAATAGCATGTTTAGTTACTGTAATTCTAAATAATTAATTATGATTTAGGATATTTAATTTTAATTTATTCTAATTTAGTCATTAATTTTAAATTACAAGCTTTATTGATTTATAGTTTAAAATATATAGTTTTTATTTATTTTGGTCATTATTTAGTTGTATTTCTAATTTATATGTTTATTTTTAATACATTTATTATTATTATCATTATTATTATAAATATATATATAATAAATATTATTTTTTTTTTTATTTTTTTATCCTATTTATAAATTTAAGTTTATAAATTACTTTTAAAGAAAAATAATTATATTTAAATATATATTTATTTTTCAATATTAAGAAAGGGCAGTCTTAAAGCAACTGAATGTCCATTTTCTGATATTTTTAAATAAATAAATATCTTACTTTTATTAATTATATATATTTTTAATTATTCTAGATAAATATTTTATTAATATTTATTTATTTCTTAATATTAAGAAAAGAGCTGTCTTAAAGCACCTAGAAGCATTTTTCTAATATTCCTAAATAAATAAATATTTTATTTATAAAAATAAAATAATATATATATATATATATATAATATATTTTCTTAAAAATATATTAATAAATTAAAAATAACAGGATTATGAATTAAATATATATTTTTGAATTTTTAGAATTTCCTATAATAGAGACAATTTATAATTAATGAGTACCAATTTTGGGCGTTGTGGGGGTGTTAATCCTTCCCCAAACGTAATCAACCACGAATCCTTTTTTGTTATTTAAAAGAACAAAATTTTTATTAAAACGCAGATCAATTTATCTTTTAATTGATGTTTTCTAAAAACTCTTTTAAAAGATAAGTTTTTAGGTATTTGACCTACCTGACCTTAAAGGTTAATGGCGACTCCCAAAACATTTTAAAACCATTTATTCACATCACTTTTCCCGCCAAGTAAAAAAAAATTCCGTGCCCGGGCGATAACCGGTTACGACAGCTTGGCGACTCCGCTGGGGACCTGATCAAGCTTTAAAATTAATTAAATTGTCTCTATTAATTAGAAATTAAAAATTCATATATTTAATTTATAATTCTTTCTTTTCAAAATTTTTATATATACTTATTATTTTCATAATATTTATATGTATATTATTTTTTTAATATTTTTATTTTATTTTCAAGTATTAAATTTCATTATTTATTTGTTTGTCAGAGGTTTGAACATTTCTCCTCACACACAACACTTGCATTGCATAACATAAGCTTTATAATCAAGCTTGTCCTTTTTAAGTGGGAGTGAAAGTAACGTCTTCGTGAGAATGTATTCTCCCTGTCAGACCTAGCAAGTAGCTTTCGGGGTTCATATGCTCTATATCTTCGTGAAAATTTATTCTCCATGTCAGGCATAGAGAAATGTGTCCCCTCGAATTAAACTCGATCCGTTTAAGTCTGTAGTGGACTAGGATTGAGGGTTGGTAGCCCAAGGGGGCACTAAGAAGGACAATTCGAGTACCTTTACTCTTAGAACTGAAACTCTGCATATAGTAAACCCTAGAAACTCTTCCGATCTGAAGCTATGCCGAAATTTTGTCCAAAATAGGTGTACACAAAAGAGAAATGAATTCTAACTTTTTTCCTTTTAATTAATTTATTTATTTCTCTGTTAAATAAATTGCATATGAATTTAGATTATTTAAACTATGCTATGTAAAAAGCATGTTAAATAGAAATATCTGGGTAGACATTAAATTAATTTTTTTTCTTCCTTATTATGTGAACTTATTTATTTCTTTTTATGTTTTCTGTTATTTTTGCTGTGTGCGAAGCATCATACAGGATTAAAGGTATTGATCTTCGAGTTAATCGTCTCATTGGAAAACCTTCATCTATGGATAAAAAGTGTTCAAATCAAATAGTTCCAAACTCAGAAGTAAGAAAGTGGTCTGAAGACTTACAGAGACAAGGGGGAGACAGTCTGCATGATGATTATGTACCTGAGTTAGCAAGTTATGCTCCGATTTCTCTAAAAAATGATATTCAAGATTTGCGAGGCATTTGGAAGAGTTGGGATTCAAATATAAAGCTGCATTTCTACCAGTCTTACGGGGATACCCCAAATTTGCTCTATGTTGAAGTTGATGATGACTTGCTTCGAGCCTTAATTCAATTCTGGAATCTTGGTTATAATTGCTTCACTTTCAATAAGGAGGATTTGGTTCCTACTATTGAAGAATACACAACTTTGCTACATATAGAAGGGGCTTTGGAAAATAGAATTTATTCAAGGTCAGTTAAAACTCAACCTTTCCGAGTTAAATTAGCAAAGATTGTATGAGTACGAGAGGAATTGTTAGTGGCTCATACAAAACAAAAGGGCGAGGGCGAAGGCATTGCTTGGACCAACATCAAAGAAATTATTCAGAGTCATCCATATGATAAAGTACGATTTGATCTTTTTGCTCTGGGTATATATGGTATTGTCATCTTCCCGAAAGCATTGAGATACATTGAGGCTGCAGTAGTAGATTTGTTCGAGCAACTATCTTGCTTCTACAATTCTAACAGAGACTTTTTGATCGTTAAGCGCTTGTAGAAGACTGGGAGGTGTATGATTTTCGGGATGTGCACCATTGTTATATATATGGATCCATAGCCATTTTTGGAGGACATAAAAATCTTCATACCGCCGCTTTAGTACGGAATACTCACCATTGAAAGAGTTTCTCGAGCAAGAATGGCCGAAAGAAGTCACGAAAGACATGTGGATAAATGCTTTCGAAATCTGCAAAGCAACGACATTGTTTGGCGCGCCCCGTGGCAAATTCAAAGGGAATTCTTCTACAAATGTGGTGACTACAACTGAGTGATGCTACTTGGTTTGTGGGGAAGAATCGAATATGCACCACTTTTGGTTATAAGGCAGTACGAGGGTCATCAATTTGTTCCCGTTACTGCTGGATTACATTCATCTGAGTTCGCTTTTTATAGAAAAAATTATAAAAGAAACATCATGGATGCCGTTACAGCTTGGAAAACAACTTTCTGTATTCGAGCCAAAGCGACAAAAGTAATGTTAACTCCTGATTATGAGGAATGAAGTCTGTCAGGGAAAATGAAAATATTCCTCAACCAGATCAAAATGAGGATATCTCTATGAAAGATCGCATTCGGTTAGTCCCATCAGAGATTGAAATCTTAAGAGATGAGTTTGAAGCAGAAGGAGAGGGTTAGTCGAAAGAGTTAGAGCAAATGAGACGAGATAAAGCTATGCTGGGCGTTGACGTTGACTTTCATTCAGTACAATGTGCAATGCTGAGGGAAAACAAAGAAAAAGTTGATGGTGAGTTCAGAACGTTAAAGAAGAATTACCATGAGCTACACAAATCCCGGAGAGCATCAGGATCAAGCAGAGCAGCAGCGCAGATGACCAAAGAGTTGAACATCGAGAAATGTCAAGTTGAAGATTTGAAAGAAAATAATAGTCGTTTGCTCAAAAGCCTTGAGAAAGGAAAGTAGAAAATGGAGGATCTTGAGATTGACAAAAGGGAGCGAATTATAAAGCACAAAGCCGAAAATCGCGGGATTATGAATGAATGCAGAAAGAAATAGATCGAGCTAAAGAATTAGAAAATATAAAGAACAACATGCTTGAGGGGTTTGAGGTTAAGAAAAACACCATGTTC